AATTTAAATTTAAATCATGGCGTATGCGCTCAATTCAGAAAAGTGATACTCGATCTGAATCCCCGACGACGTTTTCCTGTTCTGAATCCAGTCCGGAGTCAAATTTTACTTTGGTCCTACTAACAAATTAAATGAAAACAACTCGTTCATCTCTTTCAATACCAAGGGTCTTTGAATTTAAGGTCAAGCAACTTCCCATATCAAATGCCACTATTTCACAATATTTCACATTTTGTAAGCGCGTTGGTATGTTCTTTACTACTATACATGTTGAAAACCAATAGCTAGTTTCCAACATAAATTGTTACGAGAAGCAAAAGAAAGCTCAGTTATCGGCGGCACATATCATGTTAGGGAAAAAGCTCGAAGCTTACGCAATAAGAAACTTGCACTTTTACTGTTGACAGATCTTAACAATAATCTGGGACAATAATCCACAAGCATGAAAGGAATGTCGTCAACAGGCGGTTAAACTTTGTACCTGCCAGCTACGCAAGTGTGCAGAGGAGGGGGAGCACGTGTTCGCCTTAGAAGGAGTGGTATTTGCCAACGTCAAAGAATCGGGAGTGTGCCAGTTTTTAGAAAATCTTTACTTCGCGAGTGATTGGTGTGAGAATCCGAATCAGTGAAGAATGCATTTAAACTGCCAATCCTATACTATTTTCTTCTGTTGCAATAGTCTTCAACACACGGAAACGCTAACAGTTAATATTTATTTTGATTCTTGTCTTGTTTTCTTTGCTTAAAAAAATCTCGTATTTTTGGTTTCATTTTTGACTTCCCAGTTAATGTTTGATTTCCGAAATTTGTCCCTTTTCTAAATGACACTTTTTATTTCAAATGCTTACTGAATATTTCGCAGTTGAAACAGGGCTAATGGGACTGTTGCCTGCGAAAGCTTGCGAATCGCAGACGTATTTCCGGTCGTCGTTTAGAAACGACGACCGGAAATACATCTGCGCGTCGCAGGCTAATGGGACTGAGGAAGCCAAGAAAAAGAAGCGCAAGCCGGGAATGCAAAGTACGGGAGGTTGGGACATCCCTGAATCCCCCTCCCCTCCCAAAGGGAGTCGAAACAGAGCTAATGGGACTGAGGAAGTCAAGAAAAAGGGGCGGAATCCGGGAATGCAAAGTAAGGGAGGTTGGGACATCCCTGAAACCCCCTCCCCTCCCAAAGGAGTCGAAACAGAGCTAATGGGACTAAGGAAGTCAAGAAAAAGGGGCGGAATCCGGGAATGCAAAGTAAGGGAGGTTGGGACATCCCTGAAACCCCCTTCCCCTCCCAAAGGAGTCGAAACAGAGCTAATGGAACTGAGGAAGTCAAGAAAAAGGGGCGGAAGCCGGGAATGCAAAGTACGGGAGGTTGGGACATCCCTGACCCACACCCCACCAAAAAACGTACTGAATGTCTTACAAAGATTTTTCTGTCCTGTAGGAGATGAGAGATCGCTCATTGTTATTTTACTAAGTGTTACGTGAGTCTCGATTAAGTTAGAATCTTTTAAAGACCAGGTACTGGTGGGTTGCACTAATTAATTCACTCTGACTTTAAGTTATTGTGGGTGGATTCAAGGAAAATGTACCTTGCCGAGGACTTATGTCTTTTTCTGCTCAATCTGAAAAAAAAAAAATCTTAAGTATTTGGCCACCCTCCCTCTCGCGATTGTGAGCCCCTCCCCGGCCCTAGATATCTTCATCGCTTGTCGTAGCCCTAGGGTTATGTAGCTTGCCAAAGAGGCGTTATAGCGTTATTGCGAGCGCCA